CCTCCCCACCCTCACAGACAAGAATTCCTTCCCAATATCCATCTATCCCTGCCCTCTGGCAGTGGGAAGCCATTCCCTGTTTCCTGTCTCTCCACCCCTTGTCCCCAGTCCCTCTCCAGCTCTCCTGGAGCCCCTTCAGGCCCTGCCAGGGGCTCTCAGCTCTCCCTGGAGCCTTCTCTTCTCCAGGGGAATCCCCCCAGCTCTCCCAGCCTGGCTCCAGAGCAGAGGGGCCACATCCCTCTCCTCATCTCTGTGATCTTCTCTGGACTCTCTCCAACATGTCCATGCCCTTCCTGTGCTGGTGACCCGCTGACCTGGGCACCAAGGAGTTGATGTGCTGCTGTGTCCCAGACTCTGATGGAAGCACATGGGGACAGGATGTGGCTGGAGAAAGGGGGCACATGGAGATGGGGAGCACCTTCCTGGGGCCACTTCCCTGCTCTGGTTCATGGAGATAAACACCAAGTCAGTGTCAGTGCAGGACCAAAGGTCGATCCAGTTGTGGATCTCTCTCTTTCCACTTTTCTTTTACTCTTTTATTTCTCTCACTACCAGAAAATAAGGGCTAAAACACCAATTCCCATGCTGAGTGCATAAGTTAATGGTCAAACTCTGTGAGCTTCTTTTGGACCCTCTGATCCTTGTTCCTTTCTGATCTACAAACCTTGGGATCTCCCCTCTTCTTCAGAGCAGGATCCAACAAGATCCCTGGATGGTTTTCTCCCTGTTTCAATGCTCCTGTTCAAACATCTCTTCATCTCTGACACAAGGGGGGAGCCCTTGGCACACTCCAAACCTTCATTTTTTGGGGAATTGCTTGTCTGTCAGCCCTTTGCTGAGTTGTGGATAATCTCTGGAGCATGGGAGGATCCCCCCTGGATACACAAATTAAGGAAGCACATGTCTGTGTGCACATCAGGGGGGTTATTTAAACGTAAATCTGCATATTTCTGGGGCATTAAGCTGATTTTGAAGTGTTTTTACCTTTCAGATTGTCGAGTTGGAGCAGCTGGGACAGCCTTGGCTCCTCTCAGTGGGGAGCTCCGTGTCCCTGGAAATTCAGTGCCTGGGTCACCTCAGCTCTTCCCCTGTACCAAACCCGTGGTTTTCTCAGACGAATTTAGGCCTGTTTGACCCCGAAGTTGATCAGGAACTCCCCAGCCCCTCCTCCTGGTGTGGCTTTCTCGGGCTCTGCTCCGGCGGCGATGGTTTATTGCGCGGCCCTGAACTGCCGCAACGCCACGAGCGGCGCCCGCAAGAACAGCTCCGTGACTTTCCATGGATTCCCCCTGCAAAACGAGGCTCTCCTGCGGCAGTGGATCCGGAACATGGGCAGGGACATGGGGACCCCCTCCAAGTACGAGCGCCTGTGCTCGGATCACTTCGAGGAGGGCTCCTTCCAGGGGGACCCCTTGAAAATCCGCCGGAGGCGGCGGCTGCTGAAGGAGGCTGTTCCCAACAAGTTCATCCTGGGGCAGGATGGGAAGTGGCTCGTGGGGACACCCCAGGGCTTCTGTGATGGGATGAGGAATAAAACTCGGAAGCGAATCCGGAATCCCGAGCACCAGAGGGTGAGTGGGGTTGATGCTGGGAATAAATGAAATTAAAGGAAGGGTTTGGGTGTAAAGCCTTGGAAGCAACCTGGAGAAATATCCCTTAGAGGGCTTAATTAATAATAATATTATTATTCCCTAATAATAAGGTTTTATTATTAGGGAGGAGCTTTTCCAGCCGGTGTGGAACTGCCTCTGGGCTTATTTAAAACACTGAATTATTAAGAAAGAGCCACATTCCCTGAGGGAGCTGGGTGTGGATGCTGACCCTGGATATTTTTGACCCAGTTATTTGAAAAAATCATTGTTTTGGTTGAGTGACATCGTTTTTAAGGCATTTCACTCGTTCTGAAATAACAGCAGAGGGTTCTTAATGTAAAATCTTTCATTATTGAGCTGGTTACACACACACAGACACTACTGGGAGCAGTTGGGTGGTGACCACCTGTTAAAAACCATTGGAAAAAGAGGGTTTTTAGGGATTTACGACTCCCCAACAGCACTGACCGCCGAACATTTTGATTTTTAGGTCCCTGGGAAGTGTCCCAATGATGCTAAGAGGCCAACTTTGGAGGATTGGCAGAATGAATTTTGCAAGACAATCCTAAAGGAGAATTACGGATCTTTAACCATGTTCAGGAAAGGTCAGTTTTCCCTCTCCAAAGGGTGATATGTGCTGGGTCAGGCCTGGCTCTTGTCACTCCTCAAATCCCTGGATTTTTAGAGAATTAATCTTTAGGTACTTGGGAATCTTTGTGAGATCCACACACAGTCTTCCTTTTAAAGGCTGAAGCATGGGCAGAGGGTTTAGGATCCCTGGGAATGCACATGCCAGCAAAAACAAGGACAGAGGAGTGGAAGAGGTTTAGATGCAGGAGCTGCAGTGACTCAGGAATCATGAATCCTGAAGACTCATTATTTATACTGAAGCTGTGTTTTCCTCATCCCCAAACCCTGATGTATGTTTGGGTTTGGGATTCGCTGAAGGGAATTGAACTGTTTTGATGCAGAAATAGTTAAATAACAAGAGTGATGCCCAGAAAATAAAGAAATCTTGTCGATTTTAAGTGCCCAACTGTGTGTTTGAAATCACTGATATTTTAAATTCAAAGCCGTGAGCCCTCCCTGGCTCCTCAGCATCCAGGTAATTCCATGGATTCATAGAGGAACCTGCTGAAATCAGGAGCTAAAAGTGCTTTCCCTTGTTCCCAAAAAGACAGGACTGAACCACCAAATCCAACACCAGGTGGCTGAATTTGGGGTTAAGGCTCAAATCCGAGACCTGCCACTTTCCAGCAGTTAATTTTCAACCTTTGGGGTGTAATTTCTGGAATATTTTGTAAAAATTGAAAGACAAATCCTGCTCACCTTCATCCCACCACCTTTTTAGACACCGGAGCAGCTGCATTGGCTGTTCCCTCCTGGTTGAATTTTCCCAGGAATAACAGAGGTGCTCTTTAGACAGCGAGTTATGCAGGAAAACAGCCAGAGGAAAATAATAATAACCATCATTTCCACGTTCCTTCTGTTGCTTGTTCAGATTATCCTGTTCCCAAAAGCAAGATCCCGGTGGGAGAAGCGGTGCAGGTCAAGGCTCAGCAGGGTTTGGAGGGAAGGAAGATTCCTGCCAGCCTTAGCACAGGTGTGAGGCTCGTTGGGAATTAACTGGCAACACCTGGAACCTGGTAGGATTGGAGGGGGGGAATTCCAGCCCACCCCTGCTTTTTTTTACCCGAAACTTGGGGGGTTTTCGTACAGATGCAAAAATTGGGAATTGTTGTCCTCTGGAGGTTTGTGGATAACGGGATAAAGGGAACGTTGGGAATGTTCTTGTTCCAGGCCGTGGTGGTGCCATGATCAGATCTCAGCAGCAGAGTGCAGAAAACACCCAAGTTCAGGGATCATCCTCAGGAGGATCCCAAAACCAGCGCTGGAACCTTTCGGACAAGGGGGAAACATCAGAGAGCCACCAGAGTCCAACAAACCAGGCAGAGCCCCCGGGAAACAGGAGAGGCAGCAGCTTCCCTGCAGGAGGGCAACTTGGCGAGTTCAAACAGTTCCTTTTTCAGCAGCAGGCCCACCCCAAGGTGTCTGAGGTGCCCTGGTTCATCTGCACCGAGTGCGGGAAGAGCTTTGCCCGGCACACGTACCTGCTCCGGCACCGCAGGATCCACGCGGGGCTCCGGCCTCACACCTGCCTGGAGTGTGGCAAGAGCTTCCTGGAAAAACCCAAGCTCACCAGCCACTGGAGAACACATTTTCACATAATCTACGTGCCAAATGATTCCCTAGGATAGGTTTTCCCGTTCGGTTGTTGAAAATCCCCCCCCTCAGTCCGGGGGTGGTGGTTTGTGGTCCTGTGTGGGTTACAGGGAAGCTTTGGGATAAGGCACTTTGCCTAAATTTAATCAAATTCGAGTTCAAAAGGCTTCTGCTTGGTGCCAGTCTAATAATCATTGATTAGGACCCGATTTTAATTAGTGGCTGGGTAATTCCTATCCTGTTCTATCCATCCCTTCCTGGGAGCAGGAGTTGGGATAGAGCAGCGTTGGCTGTACCCAAAGTGGCATCAAAAAAACCTGGTGCACCAAACAGCACGTGCTGGAGGGCACCCAAAGTAAGAGAGAAACGCTGGGAGTTTACAGGGATGAAAAACCAGGACCTGGGAATGGGATTGTCCCCCAGTAAATTGATGTTTGAAGTAACCAATTCTGGGCATTATTTCCCCGTTTTTGCTGCTCTGCCATTGCCTGTGACTGCTGAAGTAACTCTGGTTTTGGGTTCTATTTTTATATTGACCCCATGTGTTTCCTGTGGGATGGTTCCTGAAATTATGGAAAAAAATCCATGGATATGTTCTTAATGTGTGTGTGACGTGTTGGTGATATTCCTTTGGAAAGGGGAAAAAGCAGCGGGGAGAGGGTGAGCAGAGAGAAGGGGGTCCTATCACGTGTTTTCTCCCCATGGGCTGGTGGTTTCCATCATTTTTGCTTATTCCAGTTAAGTGCCAAGAGGGAAAATGTGTTGCTTCCTGTTGGAGGGATGTGCTCAGTCGTGGGGTCCTCTTGGAGTGAAGTCCATGGGCTCAGCTGCTCCCAGAGGAGCAGCAAAGAGCTGGTGCTGTGGTGAAGTTCCCTAAGTTATGGAGGAGAACACTTGGGGGAATACACTTGGGGGAATACACTTGGCCCCAAAGGATGTTTAGGTTGGATATTGGGAAAATTTCTTCCTGGAAAGAGCTGTTCAGTCCTGGCACAGGCTGCCCAGGGTTGTGGTGGAGTCCCCATCCCTGGGGGGATTTAAGAAGTGTAGGTGTGTGGCATTTATGGACATGATTCTGTACCCTGGGCTCTGGGATCACCAAAGCTGAACAGCCCCAAGCAGCTGTGAGAGACTGGAATGTTCAAGGTTAAGGACTCAAACAAAAGCAGCAGGTTCTTTGCTGAGCCCAGGTTTTCCCCCAGACAAAGGGGAGGAGGAGATTTTTTGGATGTGTGGTGGTAAAACCTCTGATTCACATAAGGACAGCCCAGGGTGACCACCACAAACCCACCTTTGTCTAGAAACGAGCTGCTTTTGAGCCAGAGAAGGGGAAAGGCTGAAAAGCAGCAGATCCTGGTGGGATGATGGTTTCTGTCCTGCCCATGTCCTCCCTCACACAGCTGGCTCAGCTGTGACACTCCCCTGCCAGGGGGGACATTCCCAGGTGGGGCTGAAGGTTTCTGTCCCTTCTGATGGGGCACAACTGGCCCAACTACGTTGGTCACGTCTTAGAAGGGTCATAAACCATCCAAGACCCCCGAAGTGCCCCCAGAGTCATTTCTGGGGTGTTCCCACCTGAACCTCAATCTGTATTAACCCCATGCCAGTGCCACCGATGCTCCTGCCGACATTGGTGCCGATGCCTGTGCCCGTGTCGATGCTGGTGCCAGTGCCAGAACTGGTGGCTGTGGTGATGCCAGTGCCAGTGGGTGCCGGTGTGGGTGCCCATGCCAGTACTGCTGGCAGCGCTGGTGCTGTAGGTGATGGTGGTGGCAGTACCGGTGCCGGTGGCAGAGCCAATCCCGGTGGCAGAGCTGATCCCAGTGTGCGATGGCAGTACCAGTGCCGATCCTGGAGCTGATCCCGGAGCCTCTCCCGGTGGCAGAGCTGGTCCCGATCCCAGCGGTGAGCAGATCCTGGTGC